GCCCCCCCAGAGGCCAAAATGTAGCCAACATTTTAGTACAATCAATGACTTTGTGCCTCTGGGGGGCCTCTTGGGGCATCTTGGGGGTCTCTTGGGGGCCTTTGGGGGGCATCCTGGGGGCCTCTTGGGGGCCTCTTGGGGCCTCCTGGCCACCTCTTGGGGCCCTCTTGGTGCACCCTGGGGGCCTTGGGACCGATCGTAGGGCCATCTCGGAGGAGATCGATCAAAGAAGGTGGGGTCGTTCATTAGCGCCGCCCCGCAAGAGGCCAACATGGGGCCCAAACAAAAAAACAACACATGATGTTGGTTTCCTCGCCGAGGCCGTTTTGGACGCCCCAGCGACCCGCGAAACGCCCCGTCCAGGTCCAGGGGAGGGGGTAGGGCAAGCTAGGTGCGCTCGCGTCATATCTGACGTCCTACCCCTCCCTCCCATCCCTTACCATGGCGCTGGTTTTCTATATCCGCGGACGCGTGTCGTAGCGAACCTGTGGCTCCGCGCGCGCGTGCGTAGTGGGTGGTGGTGCACGTGCGTGCGGGCGTGCGTGTGTGCGTGGTTGTCGTGGTGGTGGTGGTGGTGGTAGTGGTGGTGGTGGTAGTGGTGGTGATGGTGGTGGTGGTGCTGGTGGTGGTGGTGGTGGTGTGGTGGTGGTGGTGTGGTATGGTGCTGGTGCTGGTGGTTGGTTTTTATGTGGTGGTACGGTGGTGGTGGTGGTGGTGGTTGGCGGTGCGGCGCGAGGTGGTGCGGAGTGCGGATGGGCGCGCGAAGAGAAAGAGGCCCGCGCTGGGGCGAGAACGCCATCCTCAACGACGGAGGCCAAACACCGATCCGAAAATGAGGCCCACGCTGCAGCGGGAACACGATTCGGAACGATTCGGGAGCAGAAATGAGGCCGGCGCTTCAACGAGAGCAGCATTTTGTGAAAAAATGACGCCGGCGCCTCAGCGAGAGTCGTTTCCCGGGATTTCCCGGGCATCGTGTGTGTAAGAAAACAGTACGCGGAGGGTGCGTGGCCATCACCCGGACGCCATCAGGGGAAGAGGGAGAGTATTTTCATATTGAGTAATTGTGGAGGGGTCAAGTTACCCCCTCCCCGCCCGCAAGCCGTCTCGCTCACTCCCACCCGCCCTCCCAACACATGCGTACAACCCGAGTTTGGCCCGAACCTCAGCATATAATCAGCAGTCGTCTTGGGATGGGCAGCTACTGGGGGCCAATCCGCCGCCGCCGCCGCCGCAGCCGCCGCCGCCGTCGCCGCCGCCGCCACCGCCGCCGCCGACCGCCGCCGCCGCCGCCACCGCCCCCCGCTGCCAACCGGCCGCCGCCGCCGCCGCCCCCCGCTGCCAAACCGCCGCCGTCGCCGCAACCGCCCCCGCCACCGTTACCGCCGCCGCCGCCGCCGCAGCCGCCTCAGCCGCCGCCGCCGCCGCCGCCGCCGCCACCGTCGCCGCCGCCGCCGCCGCCGCCCCCTGCTGCCAAACCGCCGCCGCCGCCGCAGCCGCTGCCGCTGCCGCTGCCGCCACCGCCGCTGCCGCCCGCCCGCCGCCGCCGCCGCGCCCGCCGCCCGCCGCCGCCGCCGCCGCCGCTGCCGCCGCAGCCGCCGCAGCCGCCGCCACCGCCGCCGCAGCCGCCGCAGCCGCCGCCGTCGCCAAGTGTACTCTGTATTGTTTTTTGACAGGGATGGTGTGGGGAGGGCGCATCGGGTTGGCTGCGCATGTTCCGAATTTGGAGGCAGAGTGTGTTTCGTTTTGTGTTTTACAAGGGATGGTGGGGGGGGCATGGACCCTGGTTGGCCCCCAGTCGCCTGGGGGTGGGGGTGTTTAGTAATAGGGAACAGTGATCAAGACCCCCTCCCCGCCCGCAAGCCGTCTCGCTCACTCCCACCCGCCCTCCCAAAACATACGTAGCACCCGAGCCTGGCCCGATCCTCAGCATATTCAGCAGTCGTCTTGGGATGGGCAGCTACTGGGGGCCAATCCGCCGCCGCCGCCGCCGCCGCCCCCGCTGCCAAATCGCCGCAGCCGCTGCCGCCGCAGCCGCTGCCGCCGCCGCCACCGCCGCCGCCGCCGCCACCGCCGCCGCCGCCGCCGCCGCCGCTCCCGCTGCCAAATCGCCGCAGCCGCTGCCGCCGCAGCCGCTGCCGCCGCCGCCACCGCCGCCGCCGCCGCCACCGCCGCAGCCACCGCCGCAGCCGCCGCAGCCGCTGCCCCCGCCGCAGCCGCCGCAGCCGCTGCCGCCGCCACGTGTACTCTGTATTGTGTTTTGGCAGGGATGGTGGGGGGAGGCCGCATCGGGTTCGCTGCGCATGCTCCGAATTTGGAGGCAGAGTGTTTTTTGCATGTTATTTTTTAGAAGGGATGGTGAGGGGGGCCCTCATTGTCTCAGGCTGGCTCCCAGTCGCCTGGGGGAGGGGGCGATACTAATAGGGAGCAGTGATAAACCCTTCCCCGAAGGGGAAAAGGGGGGTGGAAGAGGAAACGCCCTAAACCACCTACGCCCTAAAGAACTGGTGGGACTTGGCAAACAGTTTCAACTTCAGGAGTCAGGAGCCCCACTGGGAACTGGGTAGAGCTGGGCGCACTCTGAATGATCTCAGCCTTGGCCTGTTCAGCGATCTAGCGTGAGGCATTTCATGGCTGGACGGCACGTGGCGTGAGGTGGCACCACAGCAATGGCATCCATCGCATCGACCCAGCCTGTCTTGACCAGGTCGTCGAGCGTGCAGTTCCAGTCGCCCCCGACGATGAAGGGCAGGCCGGCAGACTTACGACGAGCTCCGACACGAGCGATGATGGACTATTCTTGCGCATGGGCCCATGGGGGCCCACCGGGTGAACCAGATAGAGGTTGAAAGCGATGGAACATCTACGAGCCATTCTTCCGACATGACGACGCGAGACACGAGCACGAACCACCGTGCGATCGAATCGCATGAGATCGCCGAGCCCGATTCTCTTCGGCGTAGCCGTGACGAGGCAGCCCGTGGAATTCCGGACAGTTGGCAGCGCAGCACAGGCGGAGGCAGACCAACCTAGGCCTCTCATCCTCTCTTCCAGGGATTTTGAGGTTGCAGGCAAAGTGCTCGTCTCTTGCTTGAAAACAAGCAAATCCGACGGAACTCTTCTTGGAGGGAAGCATCGAGACTAATTTGTCACCCAACATTGGCCGAGACAAGCGCCTAAACATTGCAGGGGATGCTAAAACTGAGACCGGGAATCATTGGATGGTTCCCTACCTAGGCTCTGCCTAGAAGGGTTCTTTCCATGTATGCTTAAAGGGCAGGGCAGTGTAAATCGCCCCGGGCGGTTCCCCCGGCATCCGCCCCGTGGTTCCCCCAGTGACGTCCCCTTAGCTTAGCGTTGTTCATCTCATCTTAGCTTAGCTTATTTCATCTTAGCTTAGCTTAGTTTCATCTTAGCTCAAGTTTATCTTAGCTTAGCTTACCTTCATTGTAGTTTCGCCGAGCTTCAGCATAGCACAGCACAACAGAGCATAGCATAGCGTAGCATGGCATAACGCAACACAACATATCATAGCATAGCCCAGCATAGCATAGCATAGCGCAACATAGCATAGCATAGCATAGCATAGCGCAGCACAGCACAGCACAGCACAGCACAGCACTGCTTAGCATGAATGTAATTCCCTACCTAGGCTCTGCCTAGAGGGTTAGCTTAGCTTAGCTTGGCTTAGCTGAGCATAGCGCAGCGCTGCATTAGCATAGCACAGCATAGCATAACATAGCCAATCATATAATATCATAGCATATTATCGCGCATCGCAGCTTAGCATAGCATAGCATAGCTTAGCATAGCACAGCGCAGCATGACATAGCATAGCTTGGCATAGCTTAGCATATCATAGCATAGCATAGCATAGCGCAGCATAGCATAGCATAGCGCAGCATAGTATGGCATAGCATAGCATAGAATAGCATAGCAACTAATGCTGCTTTCCTAGGGGCTCCAACTTCTAGGTAGGGTCGCACTGGGGTAATTGGTTACTAAGCCTCTTACTGGCGGCGTCATTGAGGCCACGGGTGGTATATTCTAACACTGTTTGCGGGCGACCCCCTTCTTCGAAAGGAAGTCGCTCCAGCCTGGATCGGACATGATGTCTGCAGCATTGCACTGAACTCTCGGGCGGCCGCTGGGCCAGCCACTCTCCGAGCTGCTGGCACCTTCCATCCACACACACACACACATTGGGAGGGGCATGCGTCCGCTAATCGACCCCCCTCTTTAGCAAGCGTTTTTGATAGGTTTTGTGATCAACATGGGCCCGCTGGAAGTTGCATTTTCGACTACTTTGTCCAGCTGCGCGAGAACATTTTTAGACCCTGACCCCAACGTGTGCGAGCACTTTTCGAGGGGGTCTTGCATGCCAGCATCCGTGGCTTCATATATCCGCTCGCATCGGCCAGCTTCGTGCGGGAATGGGCTGTGCTATCACCCATGTCTTCCTCTTGGGTGCTCTCTTTGGGGTTGTCGATTGTCTTATATGTTCAATAAACAGCAGGGGAGAGGATTCTAAAAGAAGCTGGCGCGATGTCCGCGGAAGCAGGCGGAGGCAGAGCGAGGGCGGCCTTGGTGGCGGACCCCAGTCTGGCCCGCGACCTCTTGGCCCCTCCCCCGCCGAGATAGCACAGGTTGGCGTGGGCATGCCCGAGGATGTGTCCTCCCCCTTCGCTGGGGGGTTAGGCCGTATCGCGCGGCACGCCCATGCTGGCTTGTGCTGTTTACGCCCGCATACGGCGCAATTCGAACTCGTACGCGCCCGGCACATAAACAATCAGACGCGCGCTGCTAATACATGTGGAAAGGGCAAAACATTGCAACAAACCTTCGGGCCACCCAAGTAAACCAAACATCATGTTCTTGCAACAACCCGTAACCATGTTTGGCTCAAGCCTCGAGGACAGCGCGCCCCATATTGCATAAATTGTGGTTTTGCCTTTTGTATCCCAGCACGCGTTGCTCGCATGCCGCCCTCGCAACTGGAGGCGTTCAGTGACAGCGAGGTCGAGGAGGCCCCTTGCCCTGCCATGCAGCTTGAAGAGTTCACCGACGATGAAGACGGCGGTGCGACTGGCAGTGTTCAGGAGTTGCAGGTTGCCCTAGGGCCATCTGTCGTTGAACGACAGACGCCCCCCGCCCAGATACAAAAGACATCCCTGAAGACCAGCGTCAGTTGTGGTCGAGGGCGGCATGGCTCCCAGGAGGAGAGGCACTTGGTGGCAGCCCGCATGCGCGAAGGTAAAGCTTGGAAGCAGGCGGCCCAGAAGAGTACCGAGCTCGCGGACCTGAAGCAGCGCTACGCCGATGTGGCGCTGTCGAACAACTGCGAGGTCAAGGGGGGCAATAAGTGGCGCAGGAAGCTGAGCCTCGCCGCTGGGCAAGTCTGCGCGTTTAGCCCCATTCGCAGAGTATCCGATCTGGCAGCGCAGTTCAAAGTAGACCGGCGGACAATTCGCCGCGTGCGATGTTTTTTTGCAGCTGTGTATTTGCAGGTGCAGTTGGTCATTATCGGATGTCTTGTCGTTCGAGCAACTCTTGTCCCTCCTGATGTTTTTGGTTTCCGCTTGAGTTGGGACGAAACTGGCCAACAGCTTTCGCTTGTGACAAAAGAAGGGAGGGAACCGTCCACGTATCAAGTGATGGCCGCCAGGATGTGGATTGTCATCTGTTGGGGACAGGAGGTGTACGAGTTTGGCGTGGCGATGCCCCCGCTGATCGTTGCCAGCACGGCGGCTTCGCAGATCTTCAAAGTGTTGTACACCCACCCAATGCTTGCAAGGATTTGGCGGGGCATTAACGTCTTGATGCAGAAAGCGGTCTTCACTGTTTCACTTGGGGAGACAGATGCTGCGATGCCGAACCAGATGTTGAGCGCAGTTCAATTCGCAAACGTCGCTGCGGGTGAGCATCATGACCACTGGTACTGTAGCCTCCACCAAAACCAGTTATGCGAAGTATCCGTGACGACAATTATATCCCATGCTCCGTTCCACTTGATATCCAGGTTGTATAGTTTGGCCTTGTTGTTGCGCGGGGGGGCAGCTTGGTTGCGCATGAAGAGAAGTCTCCCCGCGCTGCTAGCCGACGACAGGGTACAGGTGCGCGCGGGCGCGCCCCCGGCAGGTGCCGCCGAGTTCAGCAGGGAGGTGTGCCAATACATGATGTGTAATTACATGCGGTTTGCAGTTACTACTGCCCGGAAACACCACTGGTTAGCCAACGTCGGTTTCGACGGCGACCCGGGCGAGGACACCGACGCGGACCAGTGGGGCGCCGACATTGACGATGACCGGGAATTCAAGCATAAGGGTTTCGATGCGTATGTCAAATCCCTGAGAGAGCTCAGGGCTGTGATGAACGGGTGCTGGTGGTCCCCTTACGCCGTCCAGCACTTCTGCAGTGGGGCGTGCGAGTGCACGACGCTCGCAGAGCACGTGGCGAAGCTCGCCCCGGCGATTACGAAAACAGTGCTCCATCATATGCCACTGGTGCCCTCCGTGAACAAGTGGACCAAACTTGGGCCTTGCGTGGATGTGCTGGTGTTTGGGCTCCTGGCTCATCGCGTCCTCCCCGTGTGCTTTGAGAGCTTGAAGTTCAAGGCTCCGCCCAGCAGGGATGACCATGAAGCTGATGACCAATTCAAGTTTGAGGCCGATTTTTCGGCGCTGCAGGGCAAACGATTTCGCTTGGCGCTGGACATGCTGAAAAGCGAGGCCTCGGTCGGATGCATAGTGATGCTCGGCATAGTGCTGGAACCTGTGCGGCACGTGTCGGCTTGGCTCATGAGACGGGCGCGTGAGTGTCCGGATCCCTGCGGGCGCCCTGCTGTCTTAGATTTCTTCAACGACCGCTTTAACCCTGTCGTCCACGCGAGGCAGTACATCTCAACTTTGCTCAGTGGCCGCGCCACGCGCCTGGTGCTGCTGTGGAGGATTCGGCAGCGCGAGTCCCTTCAAGATTGGTTTGGCAAGCACCCCGAGGACATCCGCCTTTTCCGCAGATTGCTTCTCGCTTTGGATTGCGCATTATTTCGCCGGCATTATTGCCCGTCGAGGCGGTTCCCTTGGGGCCTCGTTCGTTTGTGCGACGACCGCTTCTCCGCAGCGGAGCGGGAACAGTTGGCCGAGAAGTTCTTCCGCACGCCCGAGTGTTGCTTGCACCCGGGCTTCGCGCGGAAGGTGGCCTCTGCGCTGGCGTCCTCCAGGGAGCTGCTGACAGAGAAGTGGCTGGCCAGGCTGAGGGTGTTGGTCCGCGTCCTCACATTGCAAGTCGCTGACGTCGAGTGGCGCCACGGCCGCAACCGCCAATTTGGGAACAACAACGGGTTGAGCTCTATGCATCAGATGGTGGCTCGGAGCGTTTGTTCTGAGGCAGTCGTCCTACGCGGTGCTGTTCGGCGACGCCGCGATCTTCTTCACCGCCGCCAAATGCCTCCGGCTCGCCAGGCCGTCGGCGACGGCGGGGCCGTCGGCGGCGGCGATGGCCGCGCGGCAGGCAGGGTGCGGGCGCCCAACCCCAAGGATTTATTCATCCTTGATTTCCACGCAGGTTGCACCGCGCGCGACGAGCGCGTGAATCCCGTTCTCCAGGACTCGGACTGGGGAAGGGCGGGGAGGACGGTTTGGCCCACCTGTGCACCGAGCCTGCGCGTTCCCTGCCCCAGCACCCCCACACCGCGGGGGGGAGTGGGGGGGTGCTGGGGCAGGGAACTCGCGGGCTCGTTGCCCAGGCGGGGTACGGTCGCTTTTCTCTGCCCCGCCCCCAGGACACCAAGGACCGCATCGACCGGGAGTTCGCCGAGCTCACCCCGGAGGCTGTGGCGGAGTATGGCAGGCGGTCCGAGTTGATGAAGGCGGCCGCGGCGCAGAACAGAGAGAAAAGGAAGCGAGACAGAGAATGCCGCCAGGCCGAGGTTTTCGCGCCCTCGACCTTCGCCGCTTCCCGCGGCGCGTTCAGGCAAGACCACGCCGGCGAGCATTTTTCCAGTCTTCTGGAGTCGTGCCAGTGCGGGGCTCCTCGCTGCAGGCACTGGGCGCTGGCCGCCAATCTGAACGCGGCGGAGCCAGAGGTGGAGCACCTGGAATCGGATAAGTTCGCGTTGTTCACTGGCGCCGCCCAGGCCATAGCTTCTCGGGCGCCCACTTTCCCATCAGGTGACTATCCTTTGACGGTCCCCTCATTGAAGAGAGCGCTCAAGAGTAATACTCTGAGCGCCTGCGAGGCCGAGTTCAGGGAGGTGACGAACGGGTACGTTTTGGCACCTCCACGGTTCCAGTTCCCAGAGCGCGTCGCCTACCCAAAGTGCTGTGGTGCGCTTTGCAGCAACACAAATTCTTTGAGCAAGGCGCGGGCGTACCTTCGATTGTTGGCTGGATTTGCTTCCTTTTCGGCGAAGTTCAAGCCCGCGGATTTGCCAGAGCAGGATCTGCTACTTCTGCTGCATGGGAATCTTGGGAGCGGTGCCAGCATCCTGGAGTACGCTTTCTTTCCTCATGCCGCTGGGCGTTTTTGCCACCACCCGCCAGAACAGACGTTCGTCAGGCTCGAGGCCGCGGGGGACGGAGACCAGACCCACGTCATCGGCCTGGAGCTCAAGGTCGCGCGGGAGCGATTCGTCGATCCTGGAAAGCGGTGCCAAGGACGATTTAATCGTCAGAGGTCTCGGGCGGGGTTGGTGGCAGAAAAGCTTCCTGCAAGCGACTCGCCGTGGCCCGCTCCGTTGTTCGCTCGGCCCCCCCGCCCTTTCCCCACCCGCCGCTTGGTCGGCACCGGGGGGGTTTGCGCGGTCGGTCGGCTATGTCGTCTGGGCCGCGACGTTCACGTTGGTACCCCCAGGTGCCGCTCGCCGATGGACCAGCAGGCGCAAGGCGCTAAGGTCGGTTGAAAACGAACGCCCCGTGTGAAGGTTGTACCCAATAGCAGTTCTTGCAACCAGGGGGCGAGATTTCGTCACGTGGTTGCCCGTGCCGCCTTGTGGGCGCCCCTTGCGCTGGGCGTGTCGGCCGAGGTTTCGCCGCGCGGCCGCCCGCGCCGCCTCGTGGGCGCTCCGTGCGCTGGGCGGGCGCTTGCACCGCATAGCTTGCGCATCACAGCTTCTCCCGCGCGGCGTGCGCTGCGAAGTTATCATATCTTGCTTGGCCCGCATAGATTGCGCCACGTGGCGGGCACCGCAAAAGGCACACACTCACGCTGCCAGGGTTTCCCAGAGCCCCCCCCCCAGGGGTCGAGACCAGGGCATCCAGGGATGAGCAGGGGGCGGGGGGTGGCGATAATGCGGGTGCTCCTCCTCGTCCTTCTCCTCCTCCTCCTCCGCGCCGCCCCCCCCTGCCCGCGTGTCGACGTGCACCCACCACCCCCCTACCTCGGCATCAACCGCTGTGGAGGCGTCAAAGGAAGGTCGGGGCGCCCGATTGTCGGCCATCCGCATTTCGGCATTTTTGCATTAGCGGGCCGCGGGGTTGAACAATCGGCCGGTCGAAAACAAACATATTCCGGCGCGAACCTGCGCGGGGGGGTCTACCAGCGGGGGGACGCCAAGGCGCCCTTGCGGAGAGGAGGAGGAGGAGGAGGAGGCAGAGGGTGGAGGGAGGAGGCGGGGGGCAGGGGAGGAGGGGGACCAAGAGGAGGGGCGCGATAATGCGGGTGATCCTCGCCCAGGCGCCTGCGGTGCCCCCTCCTGCTCCTTCCTCCTCCTCCCGCTCCTCCTCCGCCCAGTACCCTTCCGTAAACGTATTTTTCTCAAGCTGTTGCCCCCTGTTCGGCTGGCGATTATCGGATCGATGGCGTCCCTGGAGACATATGTGGGCCGCGGGGCCCACGATTACAGGGTCATCATTCCCTCGGTCGACCGGCCAGCTGTGCTGTGCAACACAACTCTCCATTTTTTGATTAATGTGCAAGCCGTCCCGCCAGAGAGGATCCACGTGTGGGTGGCAGACGCTACACTCCCACGCCAGACGCTTCCTGAAAAAGACCGCTACGCGGATGCTCTGCAGAGCCGCGGGTGGGACAGAGTGCAGCTTCGGGTGGGCGTCCTGGGATTGACGGCCCAATGGAACCACATCGTGAACGCGTACCCCCAGAACACGTACATCGTGTGCGTCCTCGACAACGTGCGGCGCATCCACCGGCGCGTGGAGAGCCGCGCTGGCCGTAAGAAGATCGAGCTGGCCAGCCCTCTTTTCAAGGCGCTGGTGCAGCACGCCGGCGATCTCTGTCACCGCCATGGCTCGTGGATGTGGGGTCTCTGCCCTGCCCAATCCCTGATGAGCATGTCCCCCAATGGCATCAGCAGAAAATTTGGGTTAGTGCAAAACGCAGTGCTGGGCTTCTGGACCCGGCGGGACCCCTCCCTCTGTTGCAAAGGCTTTTGTTTAGACTTGGAGTATTCTTGCAGGTATTGGCAGTCCGACGGAATTCTATTGCGATATGAGATGCTGTGCGCCTCGCGCCCGTACGGAACCGCGGGTGGGCAATCGACCGTCGCAGGCAGTGGCCGCCGAGAAGTGGAATCTACGCACATCCAAAAATTGGCACGTGAGTTTCCCCACCTTTTGAAGTATGCTCCAGAAAAAGGCACCAAAACCGTCCAGCCAGTGCGGATTTTTCCTGTGGGCCCCAGCCCGCTGCAGCTCAAGACGGAGACCACAAGGCAGGTGATCTTCGCGAAACGACCCGCCAGCAGCACGGAGAAGTACAGGCGGTCCCGTGGCCTCCCACTGAACACACGGAAAAAACTCAAGCCAGGACGCAAGCCCCTTGGCAAGAAAGCTATGTCCCGTGCAGAGATCAGCCGTCGGCAGCGCGAGCGAGCGCAGAAAAAATTGTTGTCGCTTCGCGAATCCCCACCAGCCCATCCAGAAACGATGCCCAGAGGAATTGCCTCGATCAGAGAAGTGGGCAGCACACAGAGGAAGCCATTATGAGACATCTTGGGATATCTTGAGCCATCTTGGACGTCATTTTGGGCTCTCCCAGACGCTCTTGGAGTCATCTTAATCCGTGCCCCCCCCCAAGAGGCCTCCATGTGGCTAAAACCTGTGTAGAATCAATGATTAGGCATTCTCGCCGAGGCCTCTTGGAGCATCTTGGGTGCATCTGGGGGCTCTTGGGGCCTCTTGGGGGTCTCTTGGGGGCCTCCGGGGGGCCTCTTGGGGGCCTCTTGGGGCCATTTTGGGGCCATCTTGGGACCTCTTGGGGCTTCCTGGGCGCTTTTGGGGCCATCTTGGAGGGAGTCGATCAAACAAGAGGGGGGGGTGAATTAGCGCCCCCCCTCGGAAGCCCCTAAATCGCCTCTTGGACCCCTCTTGGAACGCTCTTGGAGTGCTCTTGGGCGCTCTTGGGGCCGTCTTGGGGCTCTTTTGGGGCTCTCTTGGGGCCCTCTTGGGCCATCTTGGAGCCATCTCCAGGCCTCGGATGGCCATCGGAAGCGAAAAGGCGAGAAAGCAAAAATCATTGATTTTCCTTAGGTGTTGGGACGATTTTGGCCTCTTCGGGGCCTCCTTGGGGAGCTGTTTGGCCACTTGGAGTTCTCTTGGGGCCGTCTTTGGGCTTCTTGGAACCATCTTAGGAGCCATCTCGAGCGATCTTGCGCTATCTTGAGCCATCTTGGAGCTCATCTTGGGTTCTCTGAGGCGCTCTTGGAGCCGTCTTGGGCCATCTGGGACGCTCTAACTACCAGCGGCCCCCCCCGTCCAGGTCCAGGGGAGGGGGTAGGGGGAGGGGTAAACCCCTCCCCAAGGGGGAAGAGGGAGGGGTGGAAGAGGATCTGTTCTAGACCACCGACGCCCAGAGGGCTGGTGGGACTATCATCGATCATCATATTCCGTTGTCGCCGAACCATGGTTGTGGCAGATCTGTTGGCCGGCCCGTTGCGCAAACGCGCCGTTGCCGGCGCCCCAGGGGGCCGCGGCCTCCTTCCCGCCCCTGTCGTCGTTGCGGAGAATCGACTATGTGTAGTTCCCCTATACAAAAAAACAAAAATACTCCTCTCCTCTCTCCTCTGACTTGGTCCGCCCTCCTCCCGCTCGCGCCGCCGCCGCCGCGTGGGCAGCGAGTGGGCGGTCAGCAATGATCCCGCGGCCCCCGCGGGCGTCGCGTGGTGTTCGCAGGCAATGCAGTGTTCTACGCCCGCCTGGCGTCCGTGCGTTTGGCAATGTCCAAGTGGCCCCGCGGTGTTCACAGGTCGAGCGGTGTTCAGAAGCTGGCTGTTCATGTTTTTTTCGCAACGTCCCGAAACCGCGTGTTGTTTACAGGCCTTGTGGTGTCCACGGACATCAGGTTGTGCGCAAAAGGGGTCCACTGGTCCTGTGGTGTCCACAGGCCTATCCTGTCCTGGATTGACCCGACGGGCCGCGGAAAGCCAAGTTACGCGCGAACTGCGCGATACTAAATGTTGGCCCGGAAACCGGTGTGGCGACGACGACGACGACGGCGGCGGCGGCGCGACGGAGGCGATGACGACGACGACGACGACGACGGACCGACGGCGACGACGGACCGACGGACCGAGTTATGAAACCTGAGGGGAAGCGGCCAGAAACACTTGGGCCCCCCGCCTTCGCCCCCCCCGGTGCGTGAGAATCTGGAAGAGTGAGCTTTCAAAAACAACCTCACGCCTTAAAGGGCTGGTGGGATTAACGACAGTGCTTAGCACGAGTGGCCAAGCGGACAATTGCAATTGCTCCTGCAACGGTCGTCAATGCCACGGGGGGCGGCGCGAACTGCGCGATACCAAACGTTGGCCCGGAAACTGCCCCGTATGACCCCGGGAGGCACCAACAGTGGCCTAAGAGAGCTCAGGAGGAAGACGGGGTGCAACAGATGGAGGCAGATGGGGGGAGAAAGACGAGGAGGAACAGCAGGACGCGGAGGAAAAGGAGGAGGGGGAGGAAGAGGATCGGGAGGGTTCTGTTTAGCATGCGCCCGCGTGGCTCCCTGGTCGGCGGCGCACCCCAGAGATCCCCAGAAATGAGCGGTCGGGGGGTAGCTGCACGACAGTAGCATGTCTTCTTCAGGCGTCACAGCGGCTATGTCCGAGCAGATGCTCGCCCGCCGCTTCGTGGAATTGGCCACAACGTCGATGGACCAAGTGTGTGAGCTCAAGTCGGTAACCCTGAAACCCTTGGCGTACCGGGACATCTGCCTGGACCGCGTTGTCATTCAAGGCTTCCACGGCACTGTGCAGCCGTTCGAAATCGACGTCGGCCGGGAAGCGCCGAAACCAAAGCCAACGAGTGGAGCAGCGCCCAAAAAGGGCGCCGTTGACTTGTGCGGCGACGTGTTGGGCGAGTCCACTGGCGCTGGCGTTGCCGCGCACAAGGGCGCGTCGAAGGCGGGCGGCGGGGCCGCCGTGGTTGACGCCGGCACCGGGGGCATTCCATCAGCAGGCCCCTCTGGCGCGAGCCCCCCGCCCACCGAGAGCGCCGACATATCTGGCATGATGAAGGAGTTGGGCCTTTCAGCCTCAGACATTTCGGAGGGTGATTTTATGGAAGCCGACGGTGTCATGAAAGCAGTGGTCTCCGCATTGCCTGAGAATGTAAAGGCGGAGCTCGCTGATATTGGTGTTACTGTCGCAGAGCTGGAGGCCGCTCC